GTTGTTTGTTGGATTATAAATGTTTACTAAAAAAAATAAGTTCCTCTTCGCTAAGAAGTGGAACATTATCATTTGGAAGGTTTAAAAAACTTATGGGTACAGTGTTTGATAACCTATTGGAATGTTAAAGAAATTATGGGTACCTGTATTTGATTACGTGCTGAAACGTTAAAGAGTTTCTAGTATTGTCCTATAGATGTCAAGTATTATATAATGGGCCAAAGGTGTATAAGCATTAACAGTGTTACTTTTCTCTCTAGCGTAGAATCTGAAAGACTGGATATGATAGAATCTGAAAGCCTGGACATACCAATAACAACAGAGTAAATAATAATAGTAAAAAAATAGACTTAGTACATATTCAAAGATAGCAAGAAAGGATTCAAGGAAGCAACAATAAAAAATAAATAATAATAAAAAAGAAAGACGCAGCACATATTAAATAACAACAGAGTAAATAATAATAATAAAAAAAAAAGACTTAGCCCATATTTAAAGATAGCAAGAAAGGATTCAAGCGGTTAGCTTGCACTATCAAAAATAGATTGATGACACAGTTTTGATCAAGGTAGGCAGCAACTTCTCAGCCAAATTTTAGCTTTCTATGTCTAAATTTTTATTTCTAAACAAAAAAATTAAGAGTATGAACTTTTCTTTTACTGGATTATAAATAGGATATTCTATAATGCCGGAATATGAACATGGCCACACTCTCAATTCTACCGCAGTTTTCCAAATATATGTTCATAATATTGAATATAAATGCAACACTTATTTCAAATGTTTGTCATGCCCATGATGAAGAATTCAAAACAAGAATATGTTTCTTCTTCACAATCTCGATTTCCATTAATCCATGATCATCCCCATCTCCCTTTCCATATCTTTGGGCTTTCATGTGCGATACTTATTTCCTATTTGCTATACAAATTACCTGACATATCGAACCAAAATCTTACAACCTAATAATGGAATGAATACTAGTATGAAACCCACAAAAGCACTGAGGTTTTCAATTATGGGCAGGAAATCACGAGTTTGTAAGAGAGACTTACACTGGAGAAGACTGCTACAAATTGTTTTCTCTCAGTTCAAGTAAAAACATAATTTTGAGTTTATTCTTATCTAACTTCGAACGAATGAAACTCATCGATGAAACAACAGTTACGTCAAATTTCCGGCTAACATATACTGAATTATGAATTGTAAGCAAAAAAAAAAATCATAAGGAATTCAGTGACATAAAATTGACGCAACAAGGAAGAAGAAAGAGAAACTCAATCAGCAGAGGCCATCCTCACTTTGGGGGTCCAGACCACAGAGCATGATTTAATTGATCCTCCCAACTACCAATTGATACCCAAGAAGCGTTACCAGTCAACCCATAACAGAATCCAGCATTCAAGCAAAACCCAGATGAAATCGTGCCCATGAACACGCCAAAACAGCTGGGATTGGATTGTTTATTGGCAATAAAAATTACTATATTAAGGGAAAAACCACACATAAGAAGAGAGCCTAAGAGAGAGAAATGGATTATTTTGACTTCGAAGAAGCCAGAAAAGGGGAGAGAACTTGCAAACTGCAAAAATGGAAAAAGGGAATGGGAAGAGGAGATTGCATAGCCCGAAAAAAGAAGCGAGAAACACAATAACAAATTATGTCAAGAGAATGTGTTTTTTCATATAATTCATAGAAAGAAAATTCAATCATAAGGAATTCAGTCGCATAAAATTGAACAAGAGCTATAATATTGCCTCAATCTTTACATATTATCCAACTAAAATCCAACTAAACAAATAATGTTCCAATAAATAAATGGGAAAGGTTTTTATACTTCCCCTACAACATAGAAGATCTACGCTTCCCCTATCATCTAGCCATCCAATTTTAATCAAGAGAGCCACTCACCGTTTGATCTTAGATCCGACGTTGTTGAAGTGTATTTTTTGATACTTGTTACCCCTTGTTCGCATAAGAAAAGAGCAGTTTGTGACCTAAGACCACATGAACGAAAATGTCTGTGGACTACGGAGGCAGTAGGCCAATAAGCCCTGATTCTGAGTATAATTCCAGATTGTCCCAGAATGGCTCCAAAATGATAAAAAACGTGGCTAAGGGTCCCTTAAGAATGCCCGATAAGTCTTGTCGCATTCCAACGAGATTAAGGTGGATCAAATGCCAAATCTGTTTTAGAATTCTGCCTTTATCATTCTAAAAAAGCCCCTACAACTACAACCCTATTGTCAAAGCTTCAAACAATCACTAGATTGCTTCTATTGGATTCAAAAAGTTCAAAAACCCTCGAGTACCAAGTTTCGGATCATTCGGACACTCTTGGACAAATTTGCGGCCAACTTACCAAAAATGGGTAGGCCGCACGCAATTCTGGTGCACTCTTGGAGAACCAGTGCTTCCCAATTTCGGGTTGAACTTTTCATGGTCGTATCTCGTCCATTCTGAGTAGGAACGAGCACAAATTTTTGGAGGATGTTCATCTCGTCGGCTCAACTGTTTTGATATATGGCTTGCCCGATGGTATAGCCTGAGCCCACCGACACTTGGGATCCCATCAACAGCTGGGCCTACTGTCACACCAAATACTCAACAAGAAGGCACCTTAAAAGCGATGCAGGATATGCTCGTAAGAATGGACATGTATGAAATTCTACCCCCAAAGGCCTATGTTCAGGGGACCCTTGGAGGAATGGAGAACCTTCCCCTAGGATTTGTTGTCCCAGAATTTAGAAACAAGTTTAATAGGAAGAGAGATCCAGATGCTCACATCAACGCGTATCTCCTCTCTGTGAGAGCTTTGCGAGACATGCCTAATCAACTGAGGGCCATACTTTCAGAAACATTGACCGGCAAGCCTTGAATTGGCATCAGAGAACAATTTTTTCTCAACCACACATCAGTCCAGATGAGATGTTCAACCTATTCGTCTCTTACTATCGTGGGTCGTCACCAAGATCTCTCTCCCTAGGCAAGCTTAGTGCAACGAATCAAAATCTAGGATAATCCTTCGAGG